GTTTACATTGACTATTTGCACTAGTCATCCATCAGGACCACTGTAACGTTACTTTGTAAAAATTTACCGTTACACTTCCCATCTGCACATTTGTAATCTTCTTTAGTATTTAAACTAGTTCGTTGTTAGATTTTTAGTTATCCGAGCAGATACCTATATTTATTTTTATATCTTAGGTTTTTATTTCTATTTTTTTTGTTTTTGTTTTGATTTATTTATTTATTTGTTTTTGCTATGGTTCATTATATTTTATCATGCACAGTGGGGTTGAGAGGACTGCAATTTGAGAACAAAATGTCTCAGTATTTCCAAAATAATACTACTCATTGTTCCTATTATCTGATTTTATTAGCTGGTGCACTGTTACACAAAGACAAATGGAGTAATACAGCACAATAAGGTTGGAGATTTTCTTTTTACAATAACTCTTGTGCAGCCCTAGGAGAGCTGTAAGATGCTGTTTGAAGGAAAGCTGACAGACGGAAGCGAGGGTATGCAGGGCTTAGATCCTTTCTAATTAAGTGATTTCTTTACCCTAAAAGGAGGATAGGTGAATACACCCACAACCACAGCTAGAGCTTCTCCTTTGTCCTTCTCATTACTCTTCTTTATTTGCTGCTCAGTGAGTTCTCAGTTTTCACCACTCTGTTATATTAAATGATGCTTGTTACTGGGTTCTCACTGTACCCTAAAAATCAATAAGAAGTGATTGTGTAATGTAGGTGTAGAGCCTTGATTTAATTGATGCTAGGAGAGAAGCCAGACAATCTGTGCCTCAGCAAGCAGCTCCAGGGAAATATCTCAACTGGAACAACTAAATGTTTCTGTGGCCACTGATCCAGGCTGTTGATATGAAGACACACACACGCCCACACACACACACACACACCCACAAAACTCTTTCTGCTTTACTTTGGCTTTACATTCCAATGTAATTTTGTAGAAAATAAATACATATAATGGCCTAAATATAATAATATGTTCCTGAGGCCTTATTTAATTTCCTTTAGGAAAACTAATACTTTACCTAGATAGGCCAAAGGCAACTGGTCCTTCTGCTTCTACCCCTCAAAACTAAACCTAAAGAAGTAAAATGATAAGAAAATGATATTTCACAAAGCAATAACTCTTTCCGAGTTTGCTTTATTTTAAATGTCTTTTTCCCCTTTTTTATAGAAAGAAAAAAAAGAAAATCAATCAAAAGTATTGTACTGTGTGTTTCTGCAGCGAGAAAAAAGCAAATTACCCATATTATTTTATAGTCCTTGTTATGACTATGCTTTAAAATTGCCTTGCAGAACTTAGGGAAGGTTGTTTAATGGATATTCTAAGAATAATGACTGCATGAACAGCGTTTATTTCAAAATGATAGTTTCTGTGCACAGTTTAAAAGACTCATAATTTTAAAGAGGCGAAAGCAACGATGGTAGAGTTAGATGAATGCTCACAATAGGCTGCAATTAGATAGGTTAAAAGACTGAATGCTTACCCTTGTCATATTATCCACACCTCTGTTAGAAATAGGAAAAAAAATTAAATGTTAGAGGTGGTTTCCCTAAACATCTAACTGTCAAATTAATATCATCTTTCCAGTATTCGACGTGGTCCTTATCTCTCAGGTCTTAAATATAAAAATCTATCTATCTATAAATATCTCTATACATAAAATATAATAATAAACAGAATTCAGTCTCTGTTTCCTCAAACTTCTTTATAAGTAGATTTAACAAAGAATTTGCTATCATAACGATTCTGTAATCTGTAATAAAGACAGATGAGACAAAAATAAGTATTATGCTCAGCCCATTAGTAAACCTAATATATAGATAAATTTTAACTGATATTTATTCATTTTAACTTTGTTCATCAGTAAAAAGCAGGTACATCAGTGTTGAAAAAATATATACATATTAAACAAAATGAATTATTCAGTCCTAAATAATTAGAATTCTATTGACCAGAGACAAAATAGAAAAATCTACTTACTACTGTATGTTGTCCTGCAAAGTACCAACAGCTCAGATGGGAATAATGTTTTAATAAAATCTCCAGAAATGTTTAGCTCTGTGCTAAAAATGTTTGTTACATATTTTATTCATTATCCTGGTCAGCTTTCAGCACTCAGCAATTATTTAGAAAAATCATCAAAAATGAATGATGTTTTTAAATGGATCAAACCAAATGTCTTCTTCTTGTTCTTCCATGTAATCTCTATGTTTGTTAACCCTTTAAAGCCCGATCCAAGAATAAAACAAAACAGAAAATTCCTTTTTAGGTTTGAAGTCCTTATTTGGCCTTTTAACAAAATATGTAAGAAGAAAAAACAGAAATACATTTTTGATATTAATAATTTATTACTATGCGATAAGTCAAGATTATTTTTTGTGTAGTCTTCTGCACTCTGTTGTCAGGTATATCTGATTGTGTACAATAGAATTTTGAGCAAAGTTTTTACCATTAAATTATGCAAAAAGTGTTAGACGCATAACATTTCAGAAACCGTATGTATCAAATATGATACATTTGGCATTACTGGGTTAATTGCCCTCTTCCAGACTTCCTAAAACCCAACATTACCAAATATTCTATCCAATGAGTTTTCAGTGAGTCTTTGGCTGTAAAATTGTGT